TTCATCACCTCGTGTTTTTGAATATGTATAGCACACACGTTCATCCCAAAGCATAACGTTCTAACCACAATCTAAACAATATTCGCTTTTTGCCAGACTTCACATTATGACACTGTGTCCTCCACATATTTTGACTGACCTTTCAACCAGCTGATGAATAGTCATGAATGTTCCCAAATTTAAATACCGTGATAAACCAATGATATCCTCAAAATTTAGGGTTGAATAAAAACGAACTTAATTTCATTCTAGCTCTGAAATAACAGTAGAGGACTGTGTGGGTTTGCGTGTTGTTAAATTAGGGACACGTGCTGTTTTATTCCTGCTAGAATGACACTGTGTCCTCCACATATTTTAACTGACCTTTCAACCAGCTGATGAATAGTCATGAATGTTCCCAAATTTAAATACCTTGGTAAACCAATGATATCCTCAAAATTTAGGGTTGTATAAAAACGAACTTAATTTCATTCTAGCTCTGAAATAACAGTAGAGGACTGTGTGGGTTTGCGTGTTGTCAAATTAGGGGCACCTGCTGTTTTATTCCTGCTAGAATGTCCAACTACAAGAAAATGGCGAACTCAAGTTGAGTCCAACCGTAGATGTAAAGAAAACAATCAAGACCGATGTATATATGTCAAACAAATATATGCATTAAACAGTGAATTTACAAGTGACAAAGTTATTAACATTTGTGTTTGTGTGTGAACGTAAAGAGTTTGTATGTTGGTGAAAGTTCGTACGTACGTGTATGTGTGTTTCGCAAGAAGTCGCCCAGTATTTATAGTGTAGGGAGAGCGTACCCTAGTGAACAATTAGGGAATTAAGGAGGAGCTAACTTCGACAGAACCTGGTGGGGGAGATTTTTCCCCAGTTAACAAAATATTTACGTTTCTGCTGCTCCTCCTCCTCCGACTCTGTGAGAAAATAACATTATAGGGAGGTTCAGATCCAAAAACCAAAACTTGAGGGTCGTAATTCTAAATGTTATAAATCAGTTCCACAAGTCCAAAGTCAACGGGGATGTAAATATAAAGGTGGTAAAAAAAAAAAAAAAAAAAATCTGTATCCAAAACTCGCAGCAGACAACTGCCATTTTGATCCACGAATAACCAAGAAATCTGCCTGTCGCCCAAAGTAGCGTTTTTTATTCGATTAAGAAAGGTTTTGATTGGTTGGGTCTGGTCGGAAAACGCAAACAATTACCATGTTTCAAGGCCGGCGAAAGTCGACCCGATCTTGATTCTGATTTTCTTTTTTTTTTTCAGCATATAGCACTTCTTTTTTATGTGCCGTTTTCCTTCGGGGCGTAGGCCATCATAGCCCTCCGTATCTTCCTGTTCATTGTAGCTCTTAATAACTTTTGTCTACCAAACCCTGTTCTACCATCCATTTAATCAAGTTCATCAAATATGCGCCACTTTCCTCTATCTATCCTGTGATTATCAGATTTTCCAAGACCTACTTCCTCATTACGTGCACCAGAAATTTCAACTATCTCTTTCCGATGTAAAGTATAAGTTTCTTATTTGTTTCCATTTTCTCATGGTATCTTCAGCATTTTTCTGTAGAAACACATTTCTGTTGCTTCAAGTCTCTTCTTCATCTTTGAGGAGATTGTTCATCGTTCGCTGTCATAACACAAATTCTTTTTCGAGATAAGAATTGGTTTTCTTCGTCACCACAGCCTCCACGCCCTCAATATTATGATCAGGTGTAGGGTTGCTGAGCGCCCGACCTGATCTATTAATACAATGAATTCTTAAGAAAAATAGCGAGGCGTTTTCTCGTTGCTTTCTCCTCCTTTAAAATGCCGTGACCCCTCAAGAACGTAAGCGATCATGGCTTTTCCGTATTCTTTTCCTTTATCATCTTTGACTTGCCATGAATTCTTGGGGAAATTATTGGAATGGTTTCCCGTTGCCTTATCCAAGGTTTGTAATTCTAAGTTTTACTTCTCTTAGATTAATTGCCACTCAACCTAGTCTGTGAACGCAACACATCCGGATTCCAGTTTCCGGTATCGATATTCGTTACGCTTCCCGTCTATTCTCATATCTTTGTACATTGATTGAATTTTTGCTTTACAGTCGTGCTCTCCAAATTTCTCCGACAAGCAATTCTAAAACGTTACTTATTTCTAGACAGTTGTATCTATAATGTTGTGACTCGGATAATTTCGAATCTACGTCGTAAATAGGAAAATGTGAAAATAATTTGTATAAAATATTGGATAAATATTTCAATATTAACAACTCGTTTGTTAATCAAATATTGATAACCTACAAACATTTTGAAAGTTTTTTTTTATCTACTCTGTTTTTCTTGTTTATATCATTCTGCATTTTAGCCATTATTTACTTCGGTCTAAAATAAAGTCATTTACAACGTCGGTAATGTAATGGTTATCAGCGATTTCAAATTCCCATTTTGTCTTTTGAGTTCACTTTCGCATTATTGGCCTTAGGAAAGGCATGGATCCATATATTTCGATACATAACTGACAAGACATATTTTTCCCGTAGTAGGTTGCCATTTCTTTTTGCGGCAGACCAGTTGCCATTTAAGGCTATAGAACCCAGTCTGCTATTGGTCCATAGCTGGTGGGAGAAGAAGAGGATTCATACCTTCCCCAAGAATATAAGCACGTAAATAAATGTAATGGATTCGACTGGAATTCGAACTCAGTCCTCCGATTCTTCAATCCGAGCCTCTATCCATTATTCCTCCCCTGGGTTGAATAGCAGGGCAGATTGGATTATATCCCCTTGGTTGCCAATCATTCTACCGCAGAAAGAAATGGCAGCAAATCTGGCGTAAATGTTGGTAGAAAAAGAGCTGGAACACCAAAAGTGACAACTGCTGCTGAAGATAGACACTTTATTATTGAGAGCAAAAGAAATAGAAGAAAACCCTGTTACGGAAAGTGAATAAGCAGAAATGACTTATGGGCAAAAAGCATGAGAACTGGACACTGAAAGAGTGACAAAATGCGTTGGGGACAGACGAGTCCAAATTTAACTTTTTGGTTTCAGCGGAGAGTGAGTGTGAGAAGAAAGTCAGGAGAAAGACTGAATGATGAATATCTTGTTCCAACATTTAAACATGGTTGTGAATCTATTACCATGTGATGGGTGAAGAGGGCTGGAGATTTGATTCCAGTCAAAGAAAATCATGAAAAAAAATAAATAAATAAATAAAGAATAATATCTTTTGATTTTGCAAAGATATGCTATATTATCTCTAGTTTATGCATAATTGGGAAAAAAAATCACCTTTCAACAAGAAAATGATTCAAAACACTCTAAATTATGTCAAAATTACTTCAAGTCAAAAAAAGAGAAAGGAACAAAAATTTTGCAAATTTTGGATTGACCGCCTCAATCTCCTGACTTCTCTCTCCCACTGAATTAGTATGGGATGAATTGGATAAGAGAGTTCAAAGAGAATACTTAAAGGGTGAGTGTGAGCTTTTTCAGTGCTTCAAAAAGTGTTGAAAAGAATGCAAAGAATTTGTAAAGCAGTAATTAAGGTGCGTGGTGGTTTTATTGACGAAAACAAAATATGATGCTGTTGTATGAAAATTTTTTATAGTTAAATGCTCGTTTTTGTTAAAATAAATGCAAATACATTATAGCTACTAAAATTATCTTAAACAAAAAAAAAAAAGCAAAAAAGGCAAATATATGTCATTTTAAGTTTGATTTTTGTTTTTTTAATGTAGGCGGGTCCCAAACATTATGCTTGTAGTGTACCTTGCATAAACTGCTTCATGTATGGAGTAACTCCTGAATTTTTTGCATGAATTTTAACCCGTCCATAAAAACAATTACCTGTATATATTGCAAGCGGTGACAGAAAATGCATGATTTTTAACCTCTTCCAAAAATTACCTGTGTATAGTGTGACTCCTATTTGTTTGCGTAAAAACTAATCCTAAAAACTCGCACTATACTCAAGTGTATACGGCAATAAAGAATAATCATAAATTGATAAATAAAATATAAACAATAAAAATATAAACAATAAAAATATAAACAATAAAAATAAACAATAAAAATATAAACAATAAAAATATAAAATAAAAAATAAAAAATATAAAAATAAAAATATAAACAATTAAAAAAATATAAATAGAAAAACAAATAAACAAAACATACTAAAAATAATTATAAGTAAATAAAAAACACTAAATAAATTTTTTTAAAAAATACAGTTGCGTATATCTCTTTAATTTTATACTAAAATGAACATAGAAAGCTCTTAAATTTAGAGATGTTTTTTACACATTCGCTTTTAAAGAATTTGAGTGGCAAATGAAAACGCTGCAATGTTGCACAAACGAAGAATACAAAAAATTGTTGGACAAGTGAAACGAAGCAGCAAGAATAGTGCCAAAAATCCCATAACGGTGATGTGCATATATTAAAAGAGGACACTAATCTATGAGGTCATTCCGTTGCACTAAATGATTGATTCGACTAAGTATTGTTCCCAGTTAGACCAACTGAATATAGCAATCAACGAAAAAAAAAAAAAATGTGTCAGTTCAGAATTAAGAGAAATAATGTAATATTCACTCGAGATAACTGCAGATTGGTTTGGAAGTGGTCACGTAGAATCTGTCGAACCGTCTTCTGATATTCCGGTCTTTACAAAATTCTCTAATTAAAAACAATTTCAGTTTCCGATAATTATTAAAAGAAAACTGTTCTGGGAGAAAGGAATAAATTGATTTATTTTTTTGTTGTTTTTACGTCTTATTAACCTTTTGCAGATTATTTAAAGCCAGAAAATATTTTTGGATTGTTAGAATTATTTTTTTTAATAATAATAATTTATTGATACAAGTTATAACGCATAGTTGGGGGATAAGAGATGATATGCATTTTTCAAGGGCATTTGAACGTAAGTGAATATGACGATCCCGAATGGAACTGGAACACGGCTCTTCGATTTCTAATTTCGAACCCATCCATTACACCAAGCATACATCGAAGAATACAACCCCTGATATTCCAAACGATCCTCCATCTAGGTACTGACGAGGTTTGATATTGCTTAACTTCGGTGATCGGACAAGAACCGGTGTTTCAACGTGATATGGTCGTATGCCTAGGCTGGAATAAAGAAACTATTAAAAAATGGCGAAATGGAAATAACGTTACTTACGGAAGTTCATGCCAATAATTAAAATAAAAAAGTCTTATTTTTACTTAATAAATTTGAATAAAACTTTTCGTAACGTAATTCGTTCTATACGGTTAAATTTCTAGCTAAATTAGTTAACAGATGATGAAAAACTTGACAGATATCAGTAGGTATATTGAAATAACGAAAAAGAAAGCTTCCCCAAACAAAGAAACTGTGAAAAACAAGACAATTTCGTTGGAAACAAAAGATAAAAGTGCTCAACTACTATGTAGTATCCAATATGGCGGTGAATGCGGTACAATTTCATTAAGGATTATGAAACTTGAAGCAAACAGTAAAGTAGTTCTGTTGAAGAATGTCGAGAATGCTATAGACGAAATATGTGAGCAACGAGGAATTTTTAAGGAAAAAACGGAATGAAAAAGCTACATAGTATCAGACAGATACAGTTGAAATTTATTGGATACAAAATGAGGAAAGTATGTTTGGAGACTGCGACACTCACATAACATATTGAAGGCAAGAGGAGAGCAGCGAATAACCTACCCGACGAGCTTGTGCAATGGTTGGCAGGACAGAGTTTAAGAAAGATAATAAAAAGACAAGCTTTACTAAAAGGCTATAAAGGTGAGAAAGTTGTGGAGAGCCACGTCCAGAAGTGTTACGGCACATAGATTTTATACCCACATATGTATGGAGCGTATAAATCCGGATAAACTGGTTGGAAACAAAAAGTTCTCATAATGAGGAAAGTATGCTTGGAAAATGTGACACTCACAGGACATACCGTATATACTTGTGTATAGTGCGAGTTTTATAAAAAAAAAACAAAAAAAACATTTACGCATAAAATAGGGGGTCGCAAGTAATTTTGTTGAAAAGATTAAAAGTCATGCATTTTCAATGACCGGTTGCACTATACACAGGTAAACTTTTTCTGGAGGGGTTAAAATTCATAAAAAAAAAAAAAAATCAGGGGTCACACTGTACATGAAGTCGGCTTATACACGAGTATATACAGTATTTAAGGCAAGTGTGGTAGAAAGAAACCGTGAGTAACCCACCTACAAATATTGCTTAGAGTTACAAATGATAGGAAGTTGTGGAGCGCCATGTTCACCCATGTCCCGGAGGAAAATAAATATCTTGCCTATTCAGTCAGTAACTGCAAAAGCATTGTTAACCTTGACAAAAGTTAATCATAGAAACATTTTATCAGTTACTTTTATTTAAGGATGGAAAGATTGTAAAAAGAAAAAAAAATGGTTCCATTTTTCCCAGAAGTAAATCAATCATGTTCTAAGCAAGAATATCATATGAAAAACCGACTTTAATTACAGGCTTCCCCTAATTACAAACTTATTTGCCAGAACTTTCGATGTCGACAGCTGACACCAGGAAGCAAAAAATTAAAAAAAAAAATCAAATCAAACTGCCTTTTTTTTTTTTTTTTTTTAAGATATTTTGTCCATACAAAAGCCAGTTAATCTCCTGAATAGTGAAAACAAAAAAAATACTTTTTTTTGACATCGTGTCACCCAATGCCTGATAACTACAGCGACAAGATTCTGTGAATCCATTTAATTAGGTAGTAGCAGCTAAATTAGACGAAATAAATAAATAAAATCCATTACTTCTTTAGAAATTACTTTATTTACGTTTCGGATACGAAACTGAGAAGATATGACTTTCGAGAAAATTTTAATGAGTTAATGTTCTTTAAAGACGAAGAGAAACATACTTGAGTGGGAAGCTCACCGTGTCTGAGTAGTCAAAGCCCGCCGGATCAGACAGTGGATTGTCCAAAAGTTCGAATCCTGACGGAGGACACATTTTCTTGAAGGGCAGACCCATAGACAAAATAGACACTTTTAAAAACGGAACGTCTCCCTCTCATATATATATATATATATATATACACACAAATAGAATAAATATATATATATATATATACACACACACAAGTACAAGGTTGGTACAAATAGAATATATATATATATATATATATATATATATATATATATATATACACACACACACACACACAAGTACAAGGTTGGTACAAATAGAATAAATAAATATATATATATATACACACACACAAGTACAAGGTTGGTACAAATAGAATAAATTCCATATACACCAAAAACAAATATTATATATATATATATATATATATACTTAAAAGGGTTGGTACAAATAGAATATATATATATATATATACACACACAAGTACAAGTTGGTACAAATATATATATATATATACATATATATATAATAAATTTCCAATTTCACTATTCTTAAAAGGAGTAGAGATGAGATGACTGCTTCTGAGATGACTGCTTCTGATGACGTAAGAAAAATGTAATTCCCTGTTATTTTAAACTCAACAAATAAAAGACGACAATTCATGACTAGAGCGATTTTTATGTTCCTGGGGATCTCACACTTGCTCCAGCGTCGCTTCCGACTTTTACGAAAAAATGTAAAGTCCTTGTAATTTAATTAATAACCAAATGAATCGATATAACCCTTTAAGGAAAACAGAAATATCAGATAAAAAATTAGAAGTTGATGGTTACGGTAAGTTGCTGAAAGGTTATAGAACAGAAAAAAAGATTTTTTTAAGCGAGATTATTGCAAAAGAGGAAATATTTAAAGAAAATGCAAATCAAGTTTTAGCATTTGCTTAATCCTTTTTCTATGGCTTATCTCTTTGCAGATTATTTAAAGAGAGAGAATATGCTTAGAGTGCAAAAATTTTCTGTTTGTTTTTTGAAATAATAATGATTTAGAGAAACAAGTATTACTAATTAACACACAGGTGAGGGTGTGGATTCATCCCTTTCCCAAGGGGGTTTGGGTGTAACTGAATATAACAAATCCAACGGGAATTGGAACTCGGTTCTCCAGTTAACAATTCCGAGCCATTATCCATTACACCACCCGCACATTCAACCTTACAGCACTTGGTATTACCAAGTGGTTACTCATCTAGATACTGACCAGGCTCAATGTTGCTTCGGTGTTTTAACGTGATATGATTCTAAGACCCCCACTTTTTAGGAAAGAATATTGCACTACGGCCGTATCATCTTGAAACACCGAATATAGAAGAAGTCGTTAAAGTATGAAAAGTGACTGTAATAGCAAAATGAAACCTTCAACCTCCCGATAAGAGGCCTTGCTGCCGGATGTAGTTTATTGTCATACCCAGGACGACTCAATTGATGCTGTTCTTCCACTTGCTATTGATAATACTCGGTTTCCTTAGCGATTTACTTATTTTGTCTAACTTCGATTAATGTTGGTTTCTTAGTGACGTTAATGTTATAATTATCAGCGTCTCGCGCCAATAATTCCTGCATTTCTTTCACAAGTCCTCTAACATTAAATGTCTTGATGGTAAAATCGTTTTATACAATTGGAAGGATTAACAAATTTTTAAATAAGACGTTACCAACTATCAACGGTTAACAGCTGGAGAAGTCATTACCTTTTCTGCCAATATAAATTACCAACAAAAAAAATTACATCACTTAGCGTCCGCCATAATTTTCTTCACTTCTGGAAGTTAATACATTACGCCCTTTTCTCAACGAAAACTTTTGGTGCACAAATACAGACTTTTCTTTAAATCTCTTCATTTTGCTTTTGAACCACAATTTTTTTTTTTCACCGTTTTTTAAAAAAGACGCACAACTTTTTGCGTGGGTGGGTCTTATTTTCTTACGCAACCGTTGAAGTAGCAAGTAGCTTGTAGAGTTGCTTACATACAAACAGTAAGTAACGAAATATTACGGTATGCCGTATGTGTCAAAATATTCGTGATCCAAGTTACCCTTCTCAACTGGTAATTTTTTTTCTTTTCAAAATTATTTATTTTTCAACTTAGTAACTATATAGTATTTACCGGGTTATAAAATGCAATATTTTTGTATACGATGCTCGCTATCATTCCTACCGTTATGTAGCGATCAGTGAAGAATACTATTGGGAGTCTGTTCCACAAAGTAGCGGTTCCGGAGAAGAAGGGAATGAAGCTGGTTCGTTACAGTGTGTGAGCCATGGAGGATATAAGTCGAGGAGGTTGGATCTGGTGGAACTGAATGTGTCGCCAACAAATCTAGAAGAATATGATAGTAAGAACATGGACACAAATTTCGAAAGAGTGCTTCCAGAATATCGTCGAATCAATTGAAAGAAGAACTGAAACGGTTCTAAATGTAAAAGAGAGTTAAACCCGGTACTAGAGGAGTATGCTTAATAAAAAGGTGAATGTTTGCGCGCGTGTACTATATATATATATATATATATATATATATATATATATATATGTGTGTGTGTGTGTATGTGTGTGTGCATGCTTGCACGTGTTCACACACGAGTATCGTTAGATAATGTTGGATGTGCAGATAATATTAATAATATAATCGTTTCCTACAAAACGTACACCTGTGCACACCTGAGTACGCAGACACACAACTATATGTGCGTAAATCAAAAATGGACTTTTGAATTCGATTGGAGTGAAAAGTAAGCAGGCAAAGATTTTGATGAACATGGTTATCGATTACCCTTTTTCACGCTTCTTCAAGGCGAATTCCCAATTGAGAAACTAACAAGCAGATATTCAATAATTACTCAGAGGTTTTAGATTTAACAATCGTCTTCCAATTTTATTGTGAGGCCCAAACGAGCCTAATTCCCAGTCGGGAAAGTAAATAAAAGACAAATTGATTTTGCAATACAAGAATTTTCCTCTTCGATTCCCAGAGAGGAGAAGGAAGCGGGAATTATTTTTCTTCGAGGTGCTAAAATTTCATTTGGTTTTATTGCGTTACGACACGCTCCCCACTACTGTTATCAGACAGAAATAATTTAATCTTTATTTTTAAAATTAGATTACTCGTAAGATGAGTACACAGATTTAAAAAAAAAAAAAAAAAGTTATTATTG